GATCCTATGTTAAAAAGTCGTTAAAGTGAATTGATTGTCTTATTTGTTCTATTACATATGTTGTTCACATGTTCATTCCACCTGAGTTTGGATGTAAATGTGCAGCCTTAATATTATTCGCTGTGGACTGACTCACCAGGGTGACCATGTGATTTGTATGATATTGCAATGGTTTCATTCCACCTGCTGATGGTGAGTACATTGAATTTTCTGGTTGGAAGGATATTTTTCATTGTGATTTCTTTTATTGCAAGTTTGTCAAGATCTTTTTGTTATTCTTTCATTTTTTTTCTGCTGATAAAGTACGGTATGCTATCATACCGTCTGCACTTTTGTGTTGGCATGAATTATCATTTATATTGTCATATTTATAAATCAACTGAGTACACAACTTCGAATTGTTCGAAATACTAAGGATTTTCTACCCTAGGAATAGATTACCCTTTGGCAAAATCTTTCGGAATTTTTGGTCCTCAATGCTCGTCAACTTTGTACTTTATTTGGCCTTTTAACTTGTTTGATTCGAGCTTATTCACTTTTGTAGACGAAATGCGCATCTGACGTACACAATTATAAGACTGGTATCTTTGATGAGTTTTTTTTCTGCAAATTGTCGGACATTGGATTTAATTCTGCCGGGCTTGTCGTTGAAAGGAGCTTTGGGTTTTATGGTGTTACAGTTAATGTACGAGGAAATAATGACTGACCTTATTAAAGGCCTTAAAATGATTATGAGCACGTCTGTCTATTTTCCTGTACTCATGGTTTTGGGGATGTAATTAAAAAGATCAGTTGGGTTTTGCATGAAGCCAATAGGTAGATAATGTTGTGATGATCTGCATTCTTTATGATATGACTTATGATTATATGTTCTATGAGTTCTATGGTCCACAATTCTCTGCATTGTATATCTATCCTTCCTTGAAGACCAGGCTTGCATTGCCATTCCTTTAGTGATTGGGTACATCTACAGTTTCAATTGTTGATGTAAAAATTATAGTAAGAATTAATAGTTCTTTTAGTATCTTGATCTTAAAGTGTCTAATATTGCTGCTTTATTTGGAATAACTTTCGTCGGTAGTTTCAATATTTCATTTTCGTTATGTTAATGTCTTCCGCAAGAAGGCTATTGACCTGCCATTTGACAACACGATTTGAGGTCATCTAGACTATATGTGTATCCTCAGTAGAGAAATCAAATTTGAATTATTCATTCTGAATGGTTGCTTGGTCTACTGGATTCGACTGTAGTATTTGATCACTAAGTAGTGGTGCCACTCCGTTGCTTTCGGTCTTTATGTTTTATATGTGACCAGAATTGTTTCATATTCTGTGTTGGTTTTTTCCTCTTTATGTTGGTTATTTTCATCTTTATGTGTTAATATGTTTTCGATATAATTCATGTATTTTAGATGGAGTTTTCTTGGTGCCATTCGCTTCATGTCTTAGAATGTTGTAAATATGTTATATATGATTTGCGGTTTTCTTTGTTTTATTCAATTTGTCACAACGACTTATTAATTTGTGTATATTTTATGTGAGTTATGAGATGCTATTCATTAATGCAGTTTTAGGTTTGTGTTAAAGAATTGTCTCAGTTGCAATCATACATCTTCATATTTTTATATTATGAGGGATATGATTCGTAACACTCGTTAAGATTAGCTTTGAACAATAACCAAAGTTCCTGCTGTAATTTCATTTGCAGCTAATTATTTGAACTTTTCACGAGTTAAATTTTGTTTGATCGTTTCTCTATTTGCCATTCTTTATAAAGGGATTCTCATTGATTTTTGTTTGCTTGATATAGGCTTAGCGTCCATTTTACCAAAGACGATGATTTGGTCTGACACTCCAGTTATCACTTTGGTACGAGAGAAGTGTTTTGATCACTCTGTCCGACGCATTAGGATCTTTTCTAATAATGAAAAAGGAAGATGTGTTATGATTGCCAATGAGACAACTCTCTACCAGAGACGAAAAAGAAGAGTTATGAAAAAAAACCGACTGAAATTGACACTGCACTAGCTTTATGGTCACCATCATGCATTGGTGGACCGACACGATGTGTCTGTGAATCAACTCAAGAGTTATTTGTTTTCGCGATCTTAGATATCTAGTTACAAGAATTTCCTTTTGCCAATATTGGGATATTTTGACCGAGAGAGGATTTGGATGGCAGATGAAGCATGCATAGCATGAGACGATGTTTGATTTACTGGTGATAAACTGTTGTATTTTCGAAACATTAAGGGTTTTTAACCCACAAGGCATAGATAGTCTAACAATATTTGGCACCAATTGTTGGAGATTTGTCCTTCCAACGGTTTTGACTCAAGCGGCACTAAAAAGTTGTGAAGACGAAACGGGTGTCTGACACACTAAATCATAAGCATGGTATCTTTGATTGGTTTTAACCGAGTCGGCAAACCCGTTCTCGGTCCGTTTGAATTTCATTCGATACCCTCAGTTTTTTCCAATATTGATTTGAATATTATACAAACTTTGTGTTCGTGGATGTTACAATGATTTACGAGATTTGAACATCGGTAAACTATTGTTGCCTCCTATGTTACAAACTGAGACTAATTGCTCATGCAGGACAACTACGTGACGTCTATTAGGACGTGTACATGGTCACATGTCTATTCACGATACATAAAAAGAATAACGAGAATTACCAAAATATTTTCACAGTACAAAAAGACCCCACCAACCACCAAATCTCGCGAAAAATAGACGTATGAGCAAAGACCAACACCAACGAGCAAACATGATCCATGATGTCGGCGTTTATCTTTCAAAATATGTCAATGTAATCATTTTAGGATCCTTAGTTCAGAAGTTCCGGTGTATACAGCAACCCTCTATCTAGGAATATAGGTTCAACTGGGTGATATATACTTCAAATAAAGGTGTTGCTGGAATGGTACAATACAAAAGATGGAAAGTTCCCAAATGGAGAAATAGAAGTCGTGTCTTTTGTCGTAAAGTACAATATGTTGATGAAGAATGTATTTTTCCTCTAAATAGGTCAACTAAATGCTTCATAATCACTACTGAATTTATTTTTGTATATACCTGTATAGCAAGTTTAACTTGATGTTTATATATTTTAATGTGGAAAGCATCGTCACAGCTGAATCTATTACCAAAATAAATTCTATTGAATTATACTAAATAAAAGTTGTTTTTTAATATGTTATTTAATCATTTACGATTCAGTGAAATATACAACTTTAGATTACTTTTTCAAACTCATATTTCGTTAATATACTTACAGTTAACTTTTTGTATTGACAATACAATGAAATAATAGTAATTTATTAGTAAATGGATATTAAGACTATACAACGTGTTTGTACTCCACACATTGTTCAAAACCTAATTCATACTGTAGCTATGTATCTTTGTTTTCCCCCATACAATGACAATTTCATGTAGCCTTAGTCAGTCAAATTAAGGCGACAGTAGTTTACTGTTGTTCAGATTTCATAAATCGATTAGAAGAGACAATTCAAGGTAACAAACAGAAACTGAGAGAATAGCATGGACTCCAAAAAGAGCGAGATGGATTGCGTCGACAGAGTAAGTGTCTCCTACTATGCAAACATCCCCACCATAAAACTAATGCCAAAATGAGTAAAAAACGAAGTATTTAGAACATGAACATTGATAAAATGTCAAAAATTATATGCAGTTTCGCTAAGATTTGAAAATTTTGAGATCTCAATAAGAATTACATGTTTAAAGAGAGGCGAGGGATACGAAAATGACATTCAAACTATAAGTCGATAATAAATTGACAACGCCACTACTAAAACAAGAAAAAAGACAAACATACAATCATAAGTACACAAAATACAACATAGAAAACCAAAAGACCGAGCAACACGAACCCCACAAAAAACTAGGGGTAATCTCAGGTGCTCCAGAAGGGTAACCAGATCCTGCTCCACATGTGGCACCCGTCTTGGTACTCATGTTAGTACACACCGGTGATAAGTCTAATTCGGTAGGGCATAATCGGGGAAAAGGGGACGGGATTGTAGTTACGACAAATAGAACATATCCGCTGTCATTTGTGAATCGGATATTCCATAACGGTCAACCAATATGTCTACTGCAGTTAGAAAAAAAATGACCGAAGAAAATATTATATATTTACTCAAAAGAAACAACATACTTTTTTCTCTCTATTCAAATGCAGGTATTTTAAAAGTGATTTTGTTCTGGTTTAATTGACTTGCGATATCTTGACAGAATTATAACCAATTTCCCTCAAAATTTGCGTCATACTATAATCAGTCTGCCATTCTTTTATGTTATTGAGTATTTCAAAATACAATAGCTTAGCCTTATAATTTTTTACGCCAGACGCGCTTTTCGTTTATATGGGACTCATCAGTTAAATGCGAACTCAATAGGCTGTTAAAGAGAATTCAAAACCAAATATCCCAAAATGTTGGGCAAAATATGACAAATCCATCTATGCCTGGGAGCAGAAACATGTAAGGTTTGGGTCATGAATTAGATAATACTCATAAACAATAATAGTATTTTTTGCTATAATTCTTGCAGATTTCACTATACATTTTGGACAAAAATGTATAAAGTGGTTCCAATCTTAAATAGAGTTTGTCCATTTTTTTAATTTATATCAATACTCTGCCAATTCACTAATAGACAATATCCAATTCGGTACAGGTAATATAATTTATAGTACTCATTTTGACTCTGAATACATGTTTTAACTATAAAAATGAAATAAAGACACCCTAAGGTAGCAATAAAAACATATTCTTGCACGCAACAGGTGTTTCTGAGATTGCTTTATAAAATTGTTAGAAAAATACAAAGACGAGAAAATCTAACAACAAAGTGTTAATTGTTATACGATGCATTTAAATGTAGTAAAAATTTATTCAGCTCATTAAAAACTTGCACACGTACTCTTCAGTTGATAAAATAGATAAAAAAAATCTATTAAAGAAATATCATGTTATATGATGGATGTAAATTTATTCTTTTATTTACAGTATATGGTAGACAAATATGAATATTAAAGATCAGTACATACACTTTGAGTATAAACACATTGATTATCTGGAGAGATTGGTTGGTATGATATAAATATAAGAAGATGTGTTATAAGTGCCAATGAGACAACTCTCCATCCAAGTCACAATTTGTAAAAGTAAACCATTATAGGTTTAAATACGGTCTTCAACACGGAGCCTTAGCTCACACCAAACACCAAGCTATAAAGGGCACCAAAAAAGACTAGTGTAAAACCATTCAAACAGGAAAACCAACGGTCTAATCTATATAAAAAACGAGAAACGAGAAACACTTATGAACCACATCAACAAACGACAACCACTGAACATCAGAATCCTGACTAAGGACAGGTGCAAACAAATGCAGCGGGTTTTTAACGTTTTAATAGGCACCAACCTTCACCCTACCTGAAACAATCGTGTAACATCACAGCATAGAAAGACACACTATAAAATATCAATTGAAATGGCCTAACTCAATCAAAAGATACAATGTAAATACAAAAGTAATAAAACAAGGGGGTTAGATGTTTAACAATATCAGAAAGACAACCATAACCTTGGACAAAATGCCGCCAAATAAAATAACGTACACAGGTAAATAAAAATAATTTAGTTGTAAGGTATTCATAGAGTACGGAAATAATTTTTACAAAATAAGTAATTTTGTTGTTCCTTATACGAGAACAAAAGTGAAAACTTATCGTCATATTAGACACTTATCAAAGGTGGTATATATTAAAAATAGTGAGACTAGATATAACACTGAATAAATAAACATTTAACGTTATGGACAGTCAAAGAAGCCATGACTTGTGCAATGCCAAAATAAACGTATGGACAGGCAGTAGGATAGTTAGGAGTTAAGCTGTGAATAAATATGTATAATGTAATATATAGATAGAGTAATCTCTATATAGAAAATGAACGTGGATGTGTATTTATACATCCCAAAAAAACCGTTTGAAAAGAATACAAATTTAGTTATATTTTAATCTGCTGATGACAAAATCGATATTTGTGCCAATGTAAACTATATTCAAAGATCTAATTACAACATTGGTAAGATAACCTTTACTAATAAGTTTGTTTAAAGGTTCGATGAGTTTACAGCCAAATTTACTAATCAAATCTTTGTATCTATGAAAGAATTTAGTAAAAGTTTTAGCAATTTATGGTAACGAAATCCCTGACTTAATAATTTACCAGTAATGCATTGATTACGTTCGTTAAAATCTATGACATCACTACACACACACGGGCATAACGAACGAGTTGGGATATATAAACACCGTATGATGGAGCCAAAGGAACATCGCCGTCTAAAAATGGAAAATTAACAATAGGGAATGAAAAAAAATAAAAAATTGAAATGTCTAAATCTAGAAAAGGACAACAGCTACTGGATATGTTAGATTTATTTAAAGTACGTTCCTTTGGGAAAATTTCGGTAGTATATTTAGAGAACTCTGGATTATTTAACGAAAAAATATCATCAAGATAACGGTAGGTATTGTTGAATGTATCAAACAAATGTAACAATGACGTGTCTTTACTAAGTTTGGTCATACACTGAGATTCATAGCAATACAGGAATAAATCTGCTATTAAAGGCGCGCAATTAGTGCCCATAGGAACTGAGATTCATAGCAATACAGGAATAAATCTGATATTAAAGGGGCGCAGTTAGTGCCCATAGGAATGATAGTCTACATAGCAATGAGAGTTCCTGCAAATACTGAAATCTTAAAAAAAAAAACAAGTGAAAGACTTTGAAGAGAAAGGAAGCAAGGGAAGAACAGATATTTATTATGATATTTTTCTGGTAAAGAAGTATTCTTTTGGACAATGAAATGTGATACAACGAAATGTTAGACTCTGTTAATAGATATTTTTTACGAAAACTTTCCTATATAAATGTAAAATGTTCTCTATAACTATCTGCCGTTGTTTTTTATAATTACAATTGGAAATTAAACAAATATACTTGATTTGACATTATCTTTATCTTTATCGTACGTTGATAAAAACTATTGTTAATTTCACTTTTTTGAGCATTGATACATGTTAACAACATTTCCACCAACTTCAACAGCAAGTTTCTTTGCCTGCGGTTGATGACAAATAAATCTTGGCTGGTTAATGTCATCTTTGGTTGTCAACAATTGAGTTATATGGCCATCATCTGTTCTCATTTGAACTACCGAATTATCGGATTTACTGGCGACAAATAATACATCTTCACGTAAATCAAGATCTCTTGGACTATTAACCTTAATTGTCCATTTTATATTTCCTTCATAATTCACAGAATTAACGCATTCATTGACCAGATCAACAATAAACACAGTAGACGTTTTGTGATCGTGAGCTAAGCGAATAGTATTTCCAGTAAACTGACCGAAATTTCTCCTAATTCCAGAAATTAAAATTTTCAAATTTCCATCCATATCTGTTATAATAACACATCCATCTTTGCCCTCTCCCATTTCAATGGCAAAAGTGTCCTTGCTGTGGGAGATACTAAACGGTTTTTCTCGCACTTCAAACGTTTTCTGGGTAGAAACTTTATTTTCGGTATTGATACTAAATCGACGAACCTCCCGTTTATCTGGGAAGGTAATGGCAACTTCATCTTTTCCAGACACAGTTACGCCTCGAGGTTCGTCACTGAAAGAATGTCGTAGTACAAAGTCGTACCATGGAGGTGAAAATATTTTAAGACATCTGTTTTTGCTGTCGATAATTATCAATCGTCCATCTTCAAAAATGACCATGCCACGTATTCCAGTTACATGCTTATCCCCAGCCACTGTACTAGGTATCTGACGAAAGAAACTTGCTTTATAAGAGGTGAAAATTTTGGATGCACTTCTTTCCATTACCTGTCAAGAAAAATAAATAATGCCTTTTACCATTCGTCTTTACAAATTTCAAATTGCAAAATTGCCCAAGCTGAAATGCTTCGCCTGTTCTGTTGTTTATGATTCAATTTGCTGTTTAAAAGTCTTTGATATAACGATTTTAATACAAAGTTTCACACAAACTAAATGTTATCAATGATCCATGCACATGAGGTCAACGTAGGATGTCCGACAAATATGTACACCTTACGGTGTCTCTTCGCAGGATAAGCAACTGCCCTATAACTTAAAGTTACGAAAATCTGTCGTTACCACCAATAACTTAACATTGGACAGTCAACATGAAATAAGGTGAAGACCGATGAACACTGTCACACACACATTTTTACCTTGCATTTATCCTATACATCAAATAAGTCCAACTTTTACTTATAGAATCCGAGAAACTGATCTTACCACTGAAATTTTTCCTTTAAATGATTGAACCAAAAAAAAACAGTTCTATTTGTATCCATCTGATGAGTTAAGCCTTTTTCAACTGATTTTTACAGTTTTTTCTTATGTGTTGTTCTGTTGAACTGTTTCATATTTTTCATGTCGGGGCCTCTTATAGCCGACCATACGGTATGGATTTTTATCATTGTTGAAAGCCGTACGGTTGCCTATGATTGCTTACATTCACTTCATTTGAACTTTGGTTGATAGTTGCCTCATTGGCAATCATACCACATCTCCTTATTTTTATATTAAAGGTCAGAAAAAAAAACCTTTTTTAATGACGTGTACACCTTTCAATCAATCTAAACATCAGATATGGTTAATTTCTCTAATTCTTACCCTATGTATCTTTTTTCTGACCTGTTGATTATTTTTATTTAATCAACGAGTGGTTCGTTTGATATCAGTTTTTCATTGTGACGTAATGAAAAATTGCGATCATGCCTGATGACGTCACATAGAAAGAACACATCATTTTGCAGATCATTCGAAAAGAAAGACTAAATTTGTCTGCATATCGTCTAAAAATCATTAGAGAAACAGATTCCAACACCAAATCTCGTGCAAGGGTTAAACTTTAAATATTCAAAACGCTCGGCAAGCCTTGCATTTTAAGTTTGAAAATTCAAATGTCTCTATGGGATAAATATCGTATCACACTCAATGCAGTGGTAGAATATATATATCAATGATAGTAATTGACGAAATGATATAAGCACGAAAACTGAATGTTATCCAATGACATACATTGGGTTAATTACTTTAAAAGTATTAATTAGATTACATTCACATTGCAAAAAGCTTCAATTAAATTACAATTTCATTTTATTTACCTTTTTTTTTTAAATGATATTACTTTAGAAATTTTACAAATTACAAACAAACATAACACTGGATATCATACAGAACATACATTAGACGTTTTGTTGACAAAAGCTTTCAGCTTGATAATGAGGGCTGAATAACTTTTTTTCTTATTATAAAGGAAAGATATAATTTAGTGCTCCCTTTGAAAATAAACTCATATTAGATACCAGGATTGAAATTTTGTATTTGCGCCAGACGCGTTTTTCTTCTACAAAAGACTCATCAGTGACGCTAGAATAAAAAAAAGTTAAAAAGGCCAAATAAAGTACGAAATTGAAGAGCATTGAGGACCAAAAATTCCTAAAAGTTTTGCTAAATACAGCTAAGGTAATCTATTCCTGAGGTAGAAAAGCCTTAGTATTTCAAAAATGTAAAGTTTTGTAAACAGTTAATTTATAATTATGACCATATCAATGATAATTCATGTCAACACAGAAGTGCTGACTACTGGGACTGTGATACCCTCGGGGAATGAAAATAACTAGAATACCTGAATGTAGTTTCAGAACAACACTTGATTTGATTTAAACTTTAATAGATTACAATGTTATCTTTAGATTTATTGGTAAAATTTATGCTTCAATAAAACTTCCATTTTAATTTTTATCAATATTAAAGAAAAATGTTCTATGGATTTAACTGAATTATTAATATCATTATTTTTGAAATTTACTTTCGAATGTGCCACACAAATTTAGGGTCATTTAAACTGTCACTTATTTGAATATTACTTTAGAGAAATTTTACTTGAAACTATTTTCATACTTGACATACACTAATAAACGAATTTTAGTGTGAAACGGTAATTCTATCTGAACAGCTTTTAAAATCTTTAAAATAAATGATTATGCCATTTCCAGTTTTTCTGTCAATTTCCAGACTTATCCACTGCGGTAAATTAAATACTGTTAAGACAATTCGCTTGCAGTCAATTAAGATCTGTTCGGTCTTTGTTTATGCTCTTCAGTAGTTGCTATTTACCTGTACAGATCAACAAAATATTGAATGGTCTGAAAAGCTCTTTATTGACTGCAAACGAATTGTCTGAACACTACTGAATTTACCGCAGTCGGTAGATCTGTTATCTACGTTTTTTTGGTACATCAGTCTAATAAACAGAGGAAAGGATTGTTTCTGAAGAAAACTACATAAGACTATTAACGGGGGAATCACCATTCCTATGACAGATTTGGGGATGAATTTTTAGAGGAACAGAAATGTGAAAAATTATCAAAATTAGAGTTTTTTTTAATGCCTCTAGTGGGTATTTTTTGCCTAATAACACAAAAATGAAACATTTTGTTGACTGGCATTTACATTGTATGATATTTTATCACAATAATGTCAACATAATTGTAGTTACACTTGCGGGAGGTTTGGATAGCCACAAAACCAGGTTCAACCCACCATTTTTTTCTTAAAATGTCCTGTACCAAGTCAGGAAAATGGCCATTGTTATATTATAGTTCGTTTCTGTGTGTGTTACATTTTAATGTTGTGTTTCTGTTGTGTCGTAGTTCTCCTCTTATATTTGATGTGTTTCCCTCAGTTTTAGTTTGAATCCCGGATTTGTTTTTTTCTCAATCGATTTATGAATTTCGAACAGCGGTATACTACTGTTGCCTTTATTTATGTGTGCCGCACATCGGATGTTACACAGGAAATATCTCATGATTTCCCCCCTGTAAAGCGAACTTTACCGCTAAACAGCCTGGAAGCAACTGCCGATATCATCTAACGATTAAGTGGCCAACTGCAATGTGAGCAACATTTGAACAATGCAATTGAATGATTTATAACATAAATACAAGCTTCTATACACCATGTCTATCAAGCATAATTAGATAAGCTATGTAGAAAGTAAAATTTCTGAAAGGGTGCATGAGTGGCATTATAGCCTAGTATTTATCACCCAATCATCACCAATTAGGAATCTCTGTAAACAGTCTCTCATTACGGGGAGGTTCTAAAGATTTTATTCTGCAGTTCAATAGAAGACGAAACTTAAAAATTGACCTATCAGTATGAATTTTCATCCAATTGAATCGAAGTAAAAGATTTCTGTTTTCTATTTCGAGGACATTACACACATTATTCTAGTAAGGATTTGTCTACATTGGTTATTTGTATCAGGGGAGAAGATTATAATTTGAAGTAGATAAAGGACGAACGACGGACGCCACGTAATAGCTTGCATTGACATTACGGACAAGAAGAACCATAACATAATTACCGTAACTTGGGCCTGGTCACTGTCTACTACTTGCTGTTTCTTTCCTGATAATTTTGATGACATAAAAAGCAAAGCGTGTCTTATTTTGTTGAAGATAGCAACAGATGACCACGTTCTGTCACATGCAGATGTAGTTGTTTTTTTCTAAAATAACAGGATTGAAGGGAAAAAAAAGAATTAGATATAAAACAAATGACATTGTCAAAATTTTATTTTAAGATATATTATATTTTAGATCTGTTAAGTTAGATGACTCTTCTTGTTAAATTTCACATCAAATTAAATTCCACTATTGGGCAGGAGAAATGATAGTATCCACATCTCTATACTCAAGCTAATTTATTAGGTATATTTACAATCTTTTTTATTACCGAGTAATGATGAGGCAAGATTTGACATGTATATACAAAAATCATTGTACTTGGTCATACCTGCATAGATAAACTGTCGTAACCGTTAAATCGAAAGGAGTAATTTGATAAAATGCATTTAAAACCCCACTAAGGATAACACAATGTTAAGTCCATAGCATTTCTATATGTTTATAAGAATTAGTTGTTATGGAAAATTCGATTACAGCTTTTATCTTTTATCTTTGTGTTCCACGTTGTTGTGTGAAAGTACTCTTGATGAAAAATATACGCATAGTTACAAGGTTTTTAGGTTATTGCTGAATTAAAGAAATGCATGTGCCTTCTAAATGTTGGAATAAGCATACCATATCCTTGTGTGGTACTTTTTTCTACCAATGTGATGTCATTTTTTGTTTCTTTTAATACAATGGCAGTAAACTGATATGCAAAAGTGTAAAACATGGCAAAAGTTTGTATATTAAGACTAGTGTTCATCAACAAACTGAAAAACATATTTTTACGAAAACTGTAATGAGATGATCGTACAATAAAGTAAAAAAATGTTAACTTTTGCTTGTTTATTGTTTACAGAAAAATATAAAATATGGGAAAACGGCATTCCAGAGGTAAGGGGGTATTTAATGTTTGTATTATTCTGCATTTTGTGCTGTTTGGTGTCATGACCTGTTACTAGAATTAAGGAGGTTTGCATTGAAAACCAACATAAACTTTTACAATAATGAAAATAATCTAGATACAGACTCGCGAGGCGGGGAAAACTTTTGAGACCTCAAAAACTACTATACTGTGTTTGAACTACCATATCCTAGTATCTATGATGAGTTTATTTATGGCACTACATCTAAATACGTGTTAAGTGACCAACAATGTCAATATCGTTTTATGAAACGACAAGTACAGACAAACAATCTAGATACAGAATCGCGAGGCGGGGAAAAAATTCGGAGTCCCCTAAAACTACCTTATTTAAGGCAGCTAGTAGCACATCTTAATACATGTTTAATGGCGAAAAATGTCAAATTTAAATTATTTACTATTACCACAGTTTCTTTTTTTGTTATCATCTACGCCATCCACAAAATTAACTTACCTATAACAGAAAAAGCAATATTCCTTTAATCAGTCTTATATATAAATAGATAACATGACATACATTATTAAGAAAAACAAATTTAAATAGAAAGTCATGTGGTAACATCAAAAAGATTCACATAAGTCATGAAGTCACATTGAAAAGATTAACACAAGTCATGTGGTCACATCGAAAAGATTCACACTTACTTAGTGTTTTATTCTAGTCCCTCGTTTTACTGTAGTCATGATAAAGATTGAGGTATACGTCATTGAGACACATGGAAGGGATAACGTTTTACTGTAGTCATGATAAAGATTGCGATATACGTCATTGAGACACATGGAAGGGACAACGTTTTACTGTAGTCATGATAAAGGTTGAGGTATACGTCATTGAGACACATGGAAGGGATAACGTTTTACTGTAGTCATGATAAAGGTTGAGGTATACGTCATTGAGACACATGGAAGGGATAACGTTTTACTGTAGTCATGATAAAGGTTGAGGTATACGTCATTGAGACACATGGAAGGGATAACGTTTTACTGTAGACATAATAAAGGTTGAGGTATACGTCATTGAGACACATGGAAGGGATAACGTTTTACTGTAGTCATGATAAAGGTTGAGATATACGTCATTGAGACACATGGAAGGGATAACGTTTTACTGTAGTCATGATAAAGATTGAGTTATACGTCATTGAGACACATGGAAGGGATAACGTTTTGCTGTAGTCATGATAAAGGTTGAGGTATACGTCATTGAGACACATGGAAGGGATAACGTTTTACTGTAGTCATGATAAAGGTTGAGGTATACGTCATTGAGACACATGGAAGGGGTAACGTTTTACTGTAGTCATGATAAAGGTTGAGGTATACGTCATTGAGACACATGGAAGGGATAACGTTTTACTGTAGTCATGATAAAGATTGAGTTATACGTCATTGAGACACATGGAAGGGATAACGTTTTACTGTAGTCATGATAAAGGTTGAGGTATACGTCATTGAGACACATGGAAGGGATAACGTTTTACTGTAGTCATGATAAAGGTTGAGGTATACGTCATTGAGACACATGGAAGGGGTAACGTTTTACTGTAGTCATGATAAAGGTTGAGGTATACGTCATTGAGACACATGGAAGGGATAACGTTTTACTGTAGTCATGATAAAGATTGAGGTTTACGTCATTGAGACACATGGAAGGGATAACGTTTTACTGTAGTCATGATAAAGGTTGAGGTATACGTCATTGAGACACATGGAAGGGTCATGATAAAGGTTGAGGTATACGTCATTGAGACACATGGAAGGGATAACAAACTCCTCTTGTTTTACAATGTGTCAAAAACTCTGAAAAGTCAAAAACATAACGAAAAAAATTAACCAAAGGTATTCAGATAACATCAACATTGTCTTTTTAAGAATGCTTTTCATGAGCATGATATAAAATAGCTTTGCATTTCGAAAACCAGTATTGTAAAATTACTATTTCATTGTCGAAATTTTTTTTCATTTATAAATAAGGGCTCGTACCCTAAACTGAGAACAGAGATGCTAAAGAACAGTGTCTCAATTGAAATCTTAAAACTTACAATGTCATCCGTACTTATGTCGACAGTACGATGAGTAGCCGAGTCAGATGTGGTTTCCGTAAATGGAAGCGATGGTAGAAAAAGAATAGCATCTGGAGACAAATTGAAAAAAGATATTAGAACGAACAGTTCCTCAAATTGAGGCAACACTACAATAGTTTACCAGTGTTCAAATCTCATAAATTAATTAAGAAGATACAAAATAAGACTGACCGAAATGTATGAACTCTAAAAAGATCATGCAGATTATTTTTATGTATGAAAAGCGATGCTTGCCGAGCCTTTAAAACTTTCGAGAGTGGAGAAATTTCGTATTGCATGAAGATGCAGTGGTGAATCTTTCTCTCTAATAACTATCTGAAACAAACTTTATCTTTCTCATTCAATTATCTACAAAAAAATGTGTTCTTAAGTGCACGTGGTGTTATAATTCATGATCATTACCTTATTTCCCGTGACTTCACAATAGGAATTGCAGACATAAGCATTTTGAATTTTGACCAACGAAGAAGTGAGATCAAATAAACCACACGTTGATTATATCAAAATAATCCAAAAACTTCAAGGTAAATTAAAAAAGTAAAAGTCCATAAAACCTGACAAAACCAAATGCTTGACAATATAAACCAACACCAACGGAACGAATGGAAATCAACTGTCATATTCATGACTTGGAGCAGAAATTTTCCAAAGAAAATCAACCGTTTGGGAAAAGTATAAATCGGGTAACAATAATGGGATATCCCATATATCGTTTCTCTTATTGCTTTCCTTATCTTACTATTAGCTTTTTTGTATTCATGTCTGCTTCTTTTGCTGGTAGAACTTTATTATGTTAATTGGGTCAAATTATTGTAATATAAGAACGGATCAGTAGACATTGATATGTAAACAAATGGGTTTTTTTCTCATTATTGAAGGCCATACGGTTGCCTATACTTGCTTACATCCACTTCATTTGAACTTGCGTTGATTGGCAAAGTAGTAGACTGACAAGTGCTGTTCCCTGGCTTGATATCGATTAGATTTAAGACATATTAAGACATATTAATCAGTCTAGGCAAAGTAATAGCAAATTGCGAGTGGCGGAGATATATTTGATACGTCGGAGTTTTCAGGTACTTCCCGTTCGTATTCACTATGTAAAAGAATTCATTGAAATATACCTGCATTTACCGGGTTGATTTATTTTTTGCAAAGTATAATTCAAAAGTAATGTGAACGGACAATTTGTTTTAATATATATATATATTTTTTTTTCTAAACATTGAATGATTTCGAATTGTGTTGACATACGTTTCAAAAGTTATATGATAATTTGATATATGAAACCTTTTACTAAATTTCCATCCAAGCATGAAATACTGAGTATTTAACAAAATTTCTATGTTTTCAATTACAAATTCATACTAGCATTCAAAACAACTGTGTTACGGTGTTATAAAGGCAATTTCAGTGTTCATCATGTTTTTTTATAAAGTATGCATAACATGTTTATTGTTTAAATCTTTTGAATAAAAATTAGATATCCCATGCAAATATGTTTGAATACAAACATACAATAAAGTGAATCTACATACCCTTCGACAAGAGCAACATATATAAATTATGGCGTTTTATTTTACAACCAAAGTATTATATTTAAGAATTTGAAAGTCAAATAAGTTTTATAAATAAGTTTTTTTTAGATAATGTTATCTATTTGACGTATTTTAAACAAACAAATTTTACTAACAACAAAGTAAAATCGTTACCTATAGGAGCAAATAAAAGATAGAACCAACATGTTTTTATTACTAAAGTGCCGTTGTCAAATAACGAAAGCAACACTTAATAAATTTCGCTCGTCCGAAGCCCCTTTCTGTGGTTATCTACATCAGATTGGTTCAAACCTAAACATCTGAAAGCCAGAAAAATGTAAAAGTGTAGAAAACTTTATAGAAATTTTAAAGCAGAGATGCATAAATACGTAGAAGATACATGACCAAAATATATTTAAATATTTACAACAATTGCCAGTAACCGTTTAATGTGTGTAGTTTGTGGTTTTAACAAAAAAAAGGCCCTTTCATAAAGTATGTCATAATGTTATTAAGTTAGTAAATCATAAACGCCGCATTATAATCCCTGAAACTGCAAATTAGGTTCAAGAAGTTATTTAATTGTTTTTTATTGTGTTGAAAGACGGTAGTTAGTTAGCTTTGAATAATAATAATAAAACATGCTTTGGAAATATTTACAAAATTGTTGAAGTTTTATTTATACTACACAGTCTCTTTAATATTTAAATTCCAGCATAATATTTTTGTCGTCTAGACCCTGTCAGTAAGTCCTACCTCTGTCATAGATAAAGGCGACAGTATTAAACCGGTGTTTAAATCTCGTAAGTCGATTAGAAAAAGACAAATCATCGCCAAAAACTAAAACTGAGGGAATTGCATGAACTCCTCGAGAAGGGTAAGCGTCACCCGCCATACGAATTTACACTCAGTCAATATGTCACAATCGGGAAAAGGACAAAATCGGTAACTCAGACAAAACACGTCGCTAAAGAGTTTAGACATCGACGCATCGTATCGGTCAACTAGTTCGTAATGATGATTCATTGAGTGATTGATTTGTGTTTAACGATACTTTCAGCACAATTGTGCTATTTCGTGATGGTGACCAAAAATCTTATTTCAGTTGTTCTTCTTCATCATAACGTTTTAACTGGGATATTAAACGCCATACGAGGGTTTGTATAAATTGGAAGTTGACAATTAGAAAGTTGAAACATCACGTTTCTCATAGATTTTAGTTTGAAGTCGGCCATCTGTGTCAATATCGAGGAAAGTGTCAAGCCTGGTTGCAGACCTTCTACACTCGGTATTATCCTAAACAGGATATATGGGATGTAAGCAGTCATTGAAATGTGGCTTATTGACTGTCATACAAGTGAGAGGTTAAGCTAGCTATAAAACCAGGTTTAATCCACCATTTTATACATAAGGAAATGCCTGTATCAAGTCAGGAATATGACAGCTGTTTTCCATTCGTTTGATGTGTTTCAGCTTTTGATTTTGCCATTAGATAAAAAGTAAAATAACAGAAATACAGAACTCCAAGGAAACTTCAAAACGGAAAGTCAATTATCAAATGACACAATGTTTCTTTTTTCTTTTTGTCTTCTGTTCTGTATAAGATGTAGAAAGGCAGATACCACCATGACCATACATGTAATTTTGATCAATGTAATTCCATTTCAGTAATTTTAATCATTGTGATTCCTGTAAATGAGAGGCGAAGGATACCAAAGGGACACTCAAACTCACAAGTCGAAAATAAACTGACAACGCCATGGCTAAAACAGAAAAAGACAAACAACAGAACACAAGACACAACATAGAAACTAAAGACTGAGCAACACGAACCCCACCAAAAACTTGGGTGATCTCAGGTGCTCCGAAAGGGTAAGCAGATCCTGTTCCACATGTGGCACCCGTCGTGTTGCTCATGTTAGTACAAACCCGGTGATAAGTCTAATTCAGTAGGTCCCATTTGGGGTAAAGGGGATTGTAGTTACGACAATTGGAACATATCCGTTGTCATCTGTGAAACGGATGTTCCATAACGGTCAACCAACTCGTGGTGGCGTTTGTAAAATTTACGAAGGGACGATTTCAACTTCACCACTTGGAACTCTTGGTTTAAAAGCTTCTTTGTGAGCAGCAACCCTCTATCAAGGAAATCATGATAGGAAATACAAGCCCTGGAATATCGGTATCAACTGGGAAATATATACTCCGTATACAGGCGCTGCTGGAATATTGCTACATAGAAATGGAAAGTTCACAGTTGGGAAGCTGAAATTATCTGAAGTTGAAGCTGTAAATGTTGTAGTTTTATTCTGACAATCATTCAGTTTTACTTAATATGATCACTGTGCAAGTTGCAGTTTTATGCTGACAGTCATGCAAGCTTATTAATGGGATTCCTGTACATGTTGTAGTTTTGCTCGGCGAATGACTCCAGCTGAATCATGTGATTACGGATAAAGGGTATGTTACTGCTTAGAAATGGGACGTTAACAATTGGAAAGTTGAAACCATCCAAATTATCATAGAGTCTAGTTTAAGCAGTCCATATGGGTCAATATCGAGGAAAAGATCAAGATATGAAGCAGATACGTCTACTTTTGGTAATCTCCTTAATCTCAAGGTCACTGGGCTATATAAGATGTAAGCATTCAATGAAATGTGGGTTATTGAGCAACAGGAAATCATCAATATATCTGAAAGTGAAATAAAAGAGCTTTGCAAGATGATTCTTCTTTTAATCTTTGAGGATGTTTTCTTTGAAATTTGCTTCATGTGAGTACAAGTCGGCCAGTAGGGGTGCACAATATGTACCCAATGGAATAATGACTGTCTGTTGAAATATTAATCCATTAATCTCAACAAATATGTTGTAGATAAAAAAATTCCATAATTTTTATGATATCCTCGTAGTATTTTTTGTCAACGTGATTATTTACAAAGTAAGTTTTTGAAGGGAGGCGGATAATACAAAAGGGATATTCAAACTCATAAGTCGAAAACAAACTGAGAATGACATGTCAAAAAAAGAAAAACGATCCAAAAAAAAAAGATTAACAACTGAGCAACATGAACCCCATCAAAAACCGAGGGTGATAAGATGCTCCGGAAGGTTAAGCAGATCCTTCTCCACATGTGGCATCCATCGTATTGCTCATATACAAACCCGCTGATAAGTCTTATTCAGAAGGTCACATTCGAGGAAAAGAGGATGAGATTGTGGTAATGAAAAATGGTACATATCAATTGGCATCTGTTAAATAGATATTCCTTTAACGGTCAACCAACTCATTGAAGGGATGATTTTAACTTTACAACTTGGAACTCTTGGTTTAGAAGCTTTCTTGTACACAGCAACCCTCTTTCAAGAAAATCATGATAAGAAATGCAAGCTCTGGAATATTGTATCAACTCGGATATTTATATACTCCATATGCAGGTGCTGCTAAAATGTTAATACATAGAAATGGAAAAATTTACAACTGGAAAGCTGAAGCGATCTCTTTTGTTTGTTTCAAGCTATCAAAAGTGAAAATGCAAGTTTTATTCATTCTTTGTTCGTCTTGTCTCATTTTTTAAATAATCAATATCTGATTTTACAGAAACGTAAATAGAGACTTTTGAAATAACATAATTTTACATGTGTATGTAACAAAAATCCAGAAACAAATACTGCATTTGAAATGGGTAACTTAACATGTTTTTAGAAGTGATGTGATTTCCTTTCTCCAGTAAAGACCTTATATTTGATGAGAACAAATTGAATGCACACTACAAAATATCCTATTCTAGTGATTCCAGCTCCTTGACACCACCTAAACCATGGGAAAATTTTGAAGTTATGGACAATAGTTGAAGCCAAATGCAAATCAATGTCTCTTGAATAAGATGTAACGAAATTTATATAATAACATTCTAAATATTATCTTATCAATTCCTGTCTGAATTCACATGACAGACCAATTCAGGGAGATGCATTATGGGAGCATATCTGATTTGGATGTTCTAATTGTCTAGACATCATTAACAATGTTGCCATTATTGCCACTGAAAAGCATCATATAAACATCATCATTCAAGATCAAGAATTTTTTTTTTTTGGCAAAATAAAAATCAAGTCAATCAAGTACAAGACATAAACAAATAATAATAATGATGTTTATTTTATATTTATGATGTATGGTATTATTCACATGGTTCATAGGAATTTGATTGCAAAATAATAAACTAGTGATATATACAAAAATTGTATCTATTGTTTGATAAAATCTGCTAGAATCAGAAATAAAATATGAAATGAACAGAAAAGATTGTCTACAAGAAAGAACTATCCTGATTATAATTCACACGAGAAAAACAAATACAAGTCCAAAAGATAATATTTCCAGTCAAAAAAATATATAAAAATTATGGAAAACCTTATGAAGCTATGGGCTACATTCTGCATAATCTATATAAATTATCACAACTCATTGACTCTCATGTGTCAATCACATTAAAGCATGAACCACAATTGACAAAGACATTTTCAAGGTCAAAGTGTTTGCTAGAAATTTGTCCCTCAAACTGAACATATTAAACTGTGAAAAAAACTTTTGTTTTCCGCTGTAAGCAATCAAGGAAATTATGATTGTGGAATGTATCTTATAAAAAAAATATTAAAAAAATCATTTGACATAATTTGCACTATCAAAAACATTCTTATATATTTAATATTTAGATTTACATTTAAACAGAGACAATTTTCAAACTTTATCACCTAGATATCAAAACTGTTTTTGGTTTATTATTAATGGAATGTTAACTTATCTCAGATACATATGCATAAAAAGAAATGTAGAGAAGACAGCAACCCATCGACAAACATAACCAAAAGACTTTAAGTCTTCAACAAAAAAAGACAGGTATTTCAAGCTAAATTGGTCCAAGTTTATAAAAGTTGTAAATAAAAAGCTGTATATAAATTTACATAAAATGATGATTGCACAATGATATTGCATTTAGTACAAAAACCAGTTTGAATCATCATTTTTACCCTAAGAAAATCAAGGTGGGAATTCTTCTTTCAGAACTACATTATTGTATACATGATGTGTATTAGGTGGGTGTTAATTACTAAATTTTTCTTGTTTTGATATAAAAATTACCATAATCATTTGCACATGTTATATACAAAATAAACAAGGTGTATAAAATTTATAACACATCTTCAGTGTTAACAATACAATAAAATTATGCTAAATAAACATATTAAAATTACAATATGAAAAACACGAATTGGCTCAATGCAGTGATAAGAGTGGACACTGAATACTTTTAAAATATTGATTTTGGAGTTGATTAGAAAATTTAATGCAAATTATGTGAAAAGAAACAAGTTTTCTTCATTGAACTCTCAAGCAGGATCCTATTCGAGCTTTTTATAACTGCCTACATATAGTTTCTCATGACCACTTATTTAGTAAAACAATATTTGCATAGCATATCTGTGTATGTCATGAATTTTTCCATAGAGAAAAGTGTGTTTCTATGGTTTGTTATTGTTATAAACAACATCATTTGTGTCCTTATGGTTAAAGTATTTATTTATGTATTTCCTTATGGGAATGTTTTTGTTCTTAGAAAAAATGATTGGAAAAAAAACCAGAATTTTGTGAGGACACTGAGGTCCTGGAATGTTATTTATGGGGATGGAAGTAAATTTTCTCCATTAATATACAGATAAGGAGATGTGGTATGATTGGAAATGATACGACTATTCACAAGAGACTAAAGGACCAGGATCTAAACATCTATAGAGCACTGTTGTTCACGTAAATCTTAAATCAATAGATCTGTCAATTGTTATAAAGGACATTTAAACAACATATTTTTATTTGTAACTCCATGTGGCAATTTAAGGTCTTTATTAATTTTTGAGTTTTTTCATAAAAATATATAAACAAAAATAATACAAAAATATTTAAAATTGTTATGTAACCTCATAGGATTATCAAATCGTGGCTGTCTCTATATAATCAATACAAAAGTACCAAACACTTTTATGTGTGGCTGTGTTTTATTAGTAAACAAATATTTTCAGGAATGACAAAAGTGTGCTATACACAGCATGGAATGATAATAATGTGTAAATAAATTCAATACATTTAACATTTCCTAAAATAACTAAGGAATGTGTTGGTTTTCATTAGTGCTAAGAGAAAACATTGTTTCATCGGTTCCCATCAAAATATTATGATAGATGTAGCAATGGTTCCCATCAAAACATCATGATAGATGTAGCAATGGTTCCCATTAAAATATCATGATAGATGTAGCAATGGTTCCCATCAAAACATCATGATAGATGTAGCAATGGTTCCTATAAAAATATCATGATAGATGTCACAATATAAAATGCTCATTTACAAAAATCAATGAAATAAAATTTATAAAATCCTTTTGAAAATTTTCAGATTGAACCAAAACATTGTCTTCTGTCCTGCAGAGGAGATACTACTGAATTAGTACTTCATTGCAAACAAAAAAAGATATATCTATTTTATAATTTTTCTTTTATATTAAACTTTTAAATATGAACTTCTTGAGATAAAAATATAATCTATTAAAATATAACCAAAGCACTTGTTCACATGGAATAATTGCATAGACCACTAATCATTAATTGATCACAACCATTATACAAATTAAAAAAAAAAGAGTTTCATAAACAATTCAATACATATAAAGTAACCATAGTAATCTACCCTTTTTAAATGTCAGTTGAAGAATCTTAGCAGAGGTTACATATCAGTGAAAGAACCTCAGCAGAGATTTATCTATTTTTAATTTGTTCAAGTCCTGACCTCCTCATAGTAATTCAGACAGGTCCATCTTTGTTACATAATAAAAGTTCAAAGAAAACTCATACTTAAACAAAAGGTCTTTTTGTAAATGTCTGTTAAAACTTTTATTGTAAAATTATGAAAGGCCATTTCGCAAAATTAAAGGTCCAAAACTTCCGACCTATACATCTTTAAACTCCTGGAAATTTCAATAAAATATATAAAATTGTTCTTCAGGTAATGTACTGGCCAGATGAAGTTTTCATATAAAGAGACCAAGCATGTCCAGTCAGAGCTCAATACTGGCCTGATACAGTACACAATAATAAGGCCGAATTTGTCCAGTCTGGACTCATCACAACTACTGATATTATTGATGTCAGTTGTTTTTCTGAAGATGTACAGGAACTGTTCCTTGTATCACTATTAGCACCTGTAGTGTTCAATACCGGGATACAGTCAATGTTTCATTACAACTGTTGGATATCACAAAATCTTAAGAATCTCATAAAAAATAAACTGGCATACATTTATTATGTATAAAACAGATATACTGACTAAAAAGAAGCCAAAATAGTCACTGTTTATATCTTTGTATGACAAATGACAAACATGATTATCTCCCCTAGTTTTTTTATAACGAATTTCCCAATCAAAAATACATCCAAACTATTTGTTTTGTATATTTTCAAGATAAATATAAAAAAGTTCTTTCTTAGGCTATTATCCCTCAAAATAACATCCATGATTTTGTGTACAAAATTTTTTTACTAAAAAAATCTATCAAAAATAAATGATCTGAAATTTAACCCTAAAGTTGAAAATTGAACACAAAAATAATTGACACTTTTGAGATACTATCTGTAACAGATTAATGGTAACAAGTTTTCCCCACAAATCATGGACCTATGTCTTAAGTACCTTGCACTCTTGTTAATAAAATGAACAATGTTATAAAGTATTGGAAGATCATTTGTCGATATGCTCCTTATAAGGGAAATCATCATGGCAGAGATGTCATTAATCACAGCTAGCTTCTCTGTACGACCCTTCTGCCGTAACAAAGTAATTATCAAAGAAGTCATGAAGAAAGGCAAACGTTGGTCTTGTCTCCGCCAACTTCTTCCAACACTGTAACATGATGTCATAGTATGGATCAGGACAAGGTATTGGTCCACCGGTTGGTTTAGCCATTCTTACTCCGGACTCCACTTTACTCAACACATCATGTCCTGTCATTCCTGTAATCACAAGTCAAAATCAAAAGTCATAAAAAAAAAGTATTGTGACTAACTGGCCTAAAAATCTTTAATTTTTAATATATCTATAAAGCAAGTAACTTGTATTTTAAGAAACTTTCAAATACTGGCCCTACTACATTTTCACTGACTAGACCCAAGAATCAAAGTCAGTATCAAAAACAAAAATGCCATTATTGTATGTATACAGTACAAACAATTGATCAATATTTGTCCCTGTAAATGTGGGTATCCAGAATTTGCGAGTTTTTTGGTCATTAAACTATGGACCAATAAGAATGCCAGATTTTTTATGATATATGGTATACAGTACAAACAATTGATCAATAGTTGTCCCTGCAAGTTAGAGGTTTTGTTATTGTGTTTTTCTTGTGTCTTACTCTGATCTTCCCTAGAGATACCAGCCTATACAAAATTTGTACTATGTTGAATATTTAAACTCATGGTTAACATAAACCCATAAAAACTATGAAAAATAAGTATGCCATGAATACTAATTAATCAACAGTTTTTTTATGTGGTAGTTACTAATCTGCTACAAGTTATTTTAAATAAGAATTTGTTGTTTTTTATTGACTTACAAACTACAGTCTGCTCATCATTGAAAACTTATCATTGACAATGCTAATGCTTGTTTATAAGACCAGATTTTATTAAGGACTTACCTGGATAAGGAACCCGACCAAATGTGATTAATTCATATAACAACACACCATACGACCACACATCAGATTTTATACTAAACTTTCTATCAAAAGCTGCTTCAGGTGCGGTCCATTTTATAGGGAACTTAGTATCTATAAATATAACATACAAATCTATAAATATAACATACAATCTGAATGGTGAACTCTTAAAAGACAAATAATTACCCTGCATACCTTTCATTTTTTGAAGTAATAAATATTTATGTATTTTGTTCAGCACAAAACATTGTGCAATTATTTGCACACACTGGTTTATATTTTTAGCTTGTGTATTTACTATATTTTTTCAGATAGATATAGTGTAACTTAAATATATGAGAATTTACAACTCAAATACACTTATAAAAAGTAGTTTCCAAACATTGTAGGTTTACACATCCATTAAAAGTATACACAATATCCCAACTTAAAAAATCGTAAAAGGTTCCCAGAATCCTGCGTCTCACCAGGGATTACTGCTGTCATGTGTAAATCTAATGACTGCTCATAACTCACAAACTAAATTAACTTGAGACTCTTTGTGAATGAAAAACTAAATCCAACCATAAGTCTTGTCATGTCAGTCAACTACAGAAAAATGTAAAAATGTAAAAAAAAGAAAGAAAAAGTTTCAAAGATGATTCTTAAAATCTATCAAATAAATATATATTTGTAAAATCTTACGCTCATGAGCCTCATAAATATCTTCTTGTATAAGTCTGGCTAGACCAAAGTCTGCCACCTTTACATCATTGCGTTCTCCTACTAAAATATTGGCTGCTCGTAGATCTCTGTGTACAAAATTCTCAGTCTCTAGATAAGCCATACCATCTGCAATCTAAAACATACAAACATGTGTTCATATTAATCTTTGTTTTTAGCAGTCATTTGTTGACCATCTTGATTTATAAAATTCAGAATTCAGTTTTCTAACACTTCCTTCAAAAAAAGTTCTGCTGAATAACTGGTTATCAATTTCCAAATCATGAAACTCTGACATCTTGTATACTTTTGGCATTTAAATTGCTTAACTATGCTTTAGCTTTCTTCAGTGAAAATATTTAATAAATCTATGGTATATCTATTGCAACATGATGAAGCCTTTAGTTTGACTTCCTAAAAACTTGAAAACTTAAACATATTCAGACAATGAAAACTGCAGCAGATATTCATATATCTCAACAGTAAAGAAAATTCTATTAATTTACAATAAATGCATCAATGCAAAAAAAAAGGTCAATAAAAAAGAAATGAGGAGATGAAGTATGAATTCAAATGAGACAGGTATCCACAGAAATCAGACAAGACAGTAGACATCTTTAGACAACCTAACTGTCTTCAATAAAGAGTCTATGTTTTTAAACTGAATATTTTTAAAGATTCCCTCTATATTCAGTCAGGGGCATTACTTCAACAAATGATGTTCAAACTTACATATACAAGGTATGTTAAATAAGGCTCTTTTTAATATTACTTATACTTCAAAGTTTTTTTTTGTAAATTTCATAAGGGACCATTCATACAGATTTTACTAGTTTAAATTTTTTCAGAGATTTGGTTATTTTTGCCATGAAGTATAAATTAATCTTCCTGTAAAACACTAATTGCCTCCCAGAAGCACTTAAATTTAATATTGACTTCTTGGCCAAAGATTGTTTTTTTGGCACTATTAAAGTATCATTTTCCTTAGAAATCTTGATAGTAGACAGATAAAAATAGATTGAAACCTGTCATTTAATTGAGACTTAAGTTATTCATAATTTGTAACCCAAAACAACAACACAATTTCCTGGAAGTTCAGTTGAATCTTCTAACCTGTGCAGTAATGTAACTATGACAGGAAGTTTAATTGATGTTTCTCACCTGTCCAGCAATGTCAACTATGACAGGAAATTTAATTGATTTTTCTCACCTGTGCAGCCATATGTCAACTATGACAGGAAGTTAAATTGATTTTTCTCACCTGTGCAGCAATGTCAACTATGACAGGAAGTTTAATTGATTTTTCTCACCTGTGCAGCCATGTCAACTACGACAGGAAGTTTAATTGATTTTTCTCACCAGTGCAGCAATGTCAACTATGACAGGAAGTTTAATTGATTTTTCTCACCTGTTCAGCCATGTCAACTATGACAGGAAGTTTAATTGATTTTTCTCACCTGTTCAGCCATGTCAACTATGACAGGAAGTTTAATTGATGTTTCTCACCTGTGCAGCAATGTCAACTATGACAGGAAGTTTAATTGATTTTTCTCACCTGTGCAGCCATGTCAACTATAACAGGAAGTTTAATTGATTTTCCTTCATCTTTGCGTAAATAATCCAACAATGAGCCGTTAACCATCATTTCTGTTATAATCCATATAGGTTCTGTTGCTGTACATACAGCCAATAATTGTACAAGTTTACGATGTCGCAGTTTATGCATAAGTTTAGCCTCTGATAAAAAGTCTTCTGCAGTCATAGCACCTTGTTTTAATGTCTTTACAGCTACATCAACTGTATTTCTCCATTTGCCTGATCAAAATGCACAGAATTTAGTTTGATTGATAGAATGTATTTAAAACTGTAGACTATATAATATTTAAAACATTTAGTTTTCATACAAATTGCACAGGGTAAATCATTTTATTAAACAGTTTTAGAGTTTTAAAATATTTTAACTTTGTCCTCAAAACTTACAAAGGCAACAAAATTTAACATGTAGATTGTCAATGAATGTTTTTTTTAATTGTAGTAAAGTTTCAGCCACTGGCCTTCTTCAGTTTCTTTATTATCCTTCTTGGCTACATGGTAGACATTTTACTTTCACAATCAATAAGATGTTATAATAAATGTTTTGTCAGTGGTTGGCACTGACTATTTTTGTTTTCGTCCATTAAGAATGTTGTAATAATGTTACAACTTTGCAAATCTTTGTCATGTTTGTTGCAACTTGTATATGGTTACCATATCATGGCCCCTTTGTATTTCTTTTTGATTAATTTAAATGGAAGAACCATTTCTTAATAAGTAGATTCTATTTACTCTGTATCAGCTAAGAACAATAGATAATAGAATGTATACTTCCTTCCAGAATTGCTCATGTAAAACTGGTTCAAACCCACCTCAATTTGTGTCTGTACCAAGCTCTTTGGATCAAGTGTTCATTGTTGTTTGTTATTGTTTGTATGTCTATTTTTACTGTTATCTTTTCAAGTATTATAATTTGTTATATGTATAATTTAATACTGATACCAAAAGTTTGTATGATATACCTGCATGGACATCACCAAAACAACCAGCCCCTAATTTCTTCATTAACTTGACCGATTCTCTGGCTACTTCTAATTCTCTGAACTGGACTTGTGGTGGCAGCTTAGGACATGGAACAGTGAGCTGACAACATAAACCATCTCCTACACCTGTAATACAGACACATATATATCATAAGAACCAAGTTATGACGTCTAATATAATACCTTTATTTGAATTCTTTTGATAAGGCAGGCTGTGCCACTGATCCTAAAGTCCATCTTTGTATAAACAAGCATTCTGAGAGTATTGCATGGCAATACATAGTCCCCTACCGGTTAAAAATTCATTGTACTGAAACAAAATGCAAACTTGATCTATAACTTGTCATGGTGTAAACTATATAACAATTATCTAGTCAATATCTTCAAGCATGACGAAATAAAAAGTGTGGACAACTAATTATTTAAGTGAATTTTCTAAGTCCAAGGACCATAACTCTGCACAAAATCATCAGAACGGAACAAAATTTGAACTTTATCTGTAACTTATCATGATAAAACTATATACCAATTATCAAATCAATATCTTCAAGCATGACGAAAACAAGAATGTGTCAATAGTACACGGATGCCCCACTCGCACTATCATTTTCTATGTTCAGTGGACCGTGAAATTGGGGTCAAAACTCTAATTTGGCATTAAAATTAGAAAGGTCCTATCATAGGGAACATGTGTACTAAGTTTCAAGTTGATTGGACTTCAACTTCATCAAAAACTTCCTTGACCAAAAACTTAAACCTGTAGCAGGACAGATGGACAGACGGACAGACCGAAAAACATAATGCCCCCAGGTGGGGAAAACTGATTATTTCAGTGCATTTTCTAAGTCCAAGGACCATAACTCTGCACAAAATCATCAGACCGGAACAAACTTTGAACTTGATCTGTAACTTGTCATGATAAAACAATATACCAAATATCAAATCAATATCTTCAAGCAGGAAAAAAAAAGTGCGAGAAACTAATTTGCCGGACTGACGGATGGACAGACAGACGGACGGACAGACAGAGTGCAAACCTAAAGTCCCCTTCGACTTCGTCGGTAGGGGACTAATAAACAAAAATCGGAAGAAAATGTCTTGAACTTGAAAACGATTTTAAGATAATTTCCTCGACCATTTATTCCAGATGTTGTAACAATCCTAATTAATAATAATTACCTTGGTAATGCTGAATTAGTTTTAGAAGTCCAGGAAACGTCCTCCTAGGACTGATATAAAAGCCTCCATTGTCCATTTTTCTAATTCTGTAATGTTTGACACAGGCATCATTCATTTTAGTATCATGGTCCCGTATAGATAATACATAAGACTGTTTATCTGAAAATATCACAGATATTAGTAACACAAAAATATCAAACCTTTGTAAATAAAGATTTTCTGATCTGATCGTATACATGACATATATATATAGTGTAGTTTTTACAAAACCGTGCTCATAGATAAAACATTAACATCAATGATATATGTAAATTTGTAGATGAATAAACCATGTTTAAAATATTTCAGGATATATAAAATCTCAATTTAAATTTACAATGAACATCTCAGTTTCAGTGATGATATCTGAAAAAAGTAAACAGTATGATGATAATGACAATGACGAACGCAAAGTGATGAGTAGAGCTGAAACTGGTCCTTAGGCCAGTTGACCTTAAGTAAGGCAAAATAGAACATTAATAAACTTCTCAACCACACCCAACCCATAAAAAAATAAAAAATATCAATGACTCTAAGACTATGTGACATTATTTTACAGGAGAAGCTGAATTGGTCCTTATGATTTGTAGTATGGAAATCTCTCTCATATATTTCTACAAATATGCAGCATGCAAAAAGAATTTCTTTTATAAGAATACAAGAACATTTAATAGGTCATTCATATTTAAAACTACTTAAACAGTAAGTCTTTTGAAAAGAGAAGTAACATAACAAAAATGAGAATTAGCGACCATAATTTATTGATAGAAAAAGGAAGACATTTAAAAATACCTAGAGAAAAAAGACTATGCCCATCCTGTAATACATTGGAGGATGAAGCTCATTTTATTTGATACTGTAGAAAAAATTCTAAACTAAGAGATAACTTTATAGGAAATGTAGTTAAACATATGCCAGATTTTATGTCCTGGCAAGGAAATGAGAAAATTAAATATCTTCTTTGCCCCATCAACCTCAAAAGAAGTAGAAAGCTTAGGGTCCTTTTTTAAACATGCATTAGAACTGAGGACAGGGAACTCTTGATTTATTTATATAAATATATATATAAATAGATTGTTTTGCTTTTTTACTTTTATATGTTTTATGGGATACATGTATGTTTTCCTATGGTTTTGTTTGTGAAAAGTATTTTGTGTATGTTTGTATTCATATAATTTGTCACAAACTTATTGTTCAGAGTTTTTATGACAATAAACATTTGATTCATATCCAAGGAAAAAAACAGAAATAATTTTACAGTTATTAAAAAAAAATTTAAACTCGTGAGATAAAAGAAAAACATTTTCTATGTATGAGATAGAGTAAAATAGAGTAAATGATTCAATATAAAAATATGTAGATGTAGTATGATTGCCAATGAGACAACTATCCACCAAAGTTCAAATGAAGTGGATGTAAGCAATTATAGGCAACCATACGGCCTTCAACAATGAGAATAAACTGCTTCGCTGAGCGTAGCTGGATACGCCCGCAGAGGTCCAACCCTGAACAGTTGGGGCAAAAATGGATACAATATTCAAGCTTGATACAGGTCTGAATTTGGATTGTAATTAAATATTTGACATATTACAGGTTTCTGAATAAATGTAGTCAAAGAACTTGAAATTGGTTATATGAATTGAATTTATATTCAATTAAAGATTTCTTGCTGTTGTGCAATACACTGTGCTGTTGCGCAATACTTAGTAAATCTGTTGTCAGACTATAAACAAATAAAGTTCAATTAATTCTCAATGTCATATTAGAAATTTATGAAAATCAAAAGGGAGCTTACATCAATAGATATAAACAATTCACCAAAGTTTCATGAGAATTGCTGACAGCATTTTTGAGTTATTGTCCGAAAACTGGAAAATCCCCCCTTTTTTAATGAATAAAACCCCATAACTCAGAAATGTAAAATGTAAAATTTATAAAATTCTAAAGGGAGCTTACTTAAATAGATATAAACAATTCACCATAGTTTCATAAGAACTGCTGTAAGCATTTTTGAGGTTTTGTCAGAAAACACGAAAATCCCCCTTTTTTATGAATAAAACCCTGTAACTCGGAAACTTAAAATCTAAAGTTTATAAAAATTCAAAGGGAGCTCATGTCAATAGATATAAACAATTCACCACAATTTCTTGAAAGTTGGTGAAAGCATTCTTGAGTTATTGTCCGAAAACTGGAAAATCCCCCTTTTTTTAATGAATAAAACCTCATAAGTCAGAAACTTAAAATTTTTAATTTATAAAAAACGAAAGGGAGCTCACGTCAATAGATATAAACAATTCACCAAAGTTTTATGCAAATTGGTTAAAGTGTTTTTGAGTTAGTGTCCGACATGTTGACGACGGACGGACAGACGGACGGACGGACAGACGGACAGAGGTATACCATAATACGTCCCGTAAACGGGCGTATAAAAACCCATACCATATGGTCGGCTATAAAAAGCCCCAACATGAAAATTATACCACAAGACCAACTGTTTCACTCATCTGGTAAATTTGAGCCTAAGGAACCGTATGATATCAAAAGATTGGCATCAAAGTCATATATTTTCTTCCTCCCAATATTAGGCTCTCTTTGTCCCCTTGCAGTGACAGTGTGGACATAGACACCCAGACATTTTGAGGTTAATTTCTCCCATTAAGAATAGGACTAATATGTCATGCTTGGATCTTCATGTATATAAATACATTTTTTTAATCAACAAAGTATGATAATATTGCAAATAAATCTCTGAAAAGTCAACTAAAATGATCTTTACAAGAAAAACGTAACTATGAAAATAAGTTGGTTTTCAGTAAGAGTTTAACAGACTCCATGGAAAATGACATTATGCAAAGAGAGGGCAAGAGCTTGCAGAGAAAAGAGGGTAACAAATTCATTGATATTAATATCAGTCTTTGTTAGCAATATTTACATGTAGTTCTTTTATTTTTTGTTTCAGAAAAAGCTACAAAGAAAAACATTTACTCATATATGTTCTGGATATTATATGACATGAAAAAGAAGAATGATACATTGAAGCTTATGCTAAACTTATATATGCAAGATAAGCAGTATACTGATTGATGACTTAATCATTTACTCAAACAAATTTGACAGCTATGTAAAGGACATCTATGTCATTAAATTTAGTTATCTTGATGACTTGTGTGTCAAATTTGTTTATTTCGCTAGTATTGCTTGAGTCAACAAATTCTTGAATGAGGAAGTAAATTGTGATGGGGTTAAGATTTAAACATAGCTTATACCCAAAGAAGGCAGACACTTTCTGATGCACCATTTATTCACCCCCAAACTGCATTGAAAACAATTTTTGAACACATGCACAGGGAAGGCTCAGTTGAAATATGTTTTTGAATAAGACTTCCAATGTAAGGTTTTCTTCCTTTTAGTAGTGGTCAACAATCATATTAAGTTTCAATACAGAATATATGGGGTTTGAAACACAGGTATAACAATAGAAAAGCAGTGTTTTAGCTATCCCAAAAAATAGGGGTGCAGCTCCCCTCTATTCTTCATGTCCTTCCCAGTGCATTTTTGTTTTCTGCAGGAAAATTGATACTTTTTAATCCAAAAATATATTTTAACTACTGAAAAAGACTTTTTACAACCCCAAAATACTATAAATCCAGCAAAATTTAAAAAATCCTTTTGTTTTATTTATACACATTAGCAAATGGTCCTTATTGCAGAAAAGAAACAGCGCATACATACCCTTCATCTTAAAACTCTATAGCAAAACAAGCATGGTTCAATACTAAATGATGAATAAATGTATGATTCAAGTGCACTCAAGCATATCATTTTTTTCCTGTTATTTAACAAAATCAAACTTTTGTGTATATTTTCTGGTAATATGTGTCTGTGTGTGATATTATACTATATTAGACCAAAGTTAAATGTGCACCTCTAAGTAATAATAGTGTGTAGTTATGTTACCTACCAGCAGATTCTCTGACAAGGAAAGTTCCCTGTGGATTTCCTGGTAATAACAGCTGTTTATCTGCTTCTTTTCTCTCCACATTATACCACCAACTGTTAAAATAGCATTTACATTACAAATATCTCATCAAAAACATTTGTATTTTGAACAAAATGTTTTTTTTAAAAATCCCCCCACACCACAACCAAAGAAATGTTCACATAAGTTTCTTTTTCTACTTCTCCATTTATCAGAGGGCATAAATACTAACTGTAATTTAATTCTACATATACTGATCATATCAATCATGTCAGTCAAAGTTAAACTTATTAGTTCATCTGTGAACAAGTACTTCCTGCTTTGTGTTCTTTTTCTTATCCTTTGAATTGACGTCAGACATCACTAAATCAATAGTGGTGTTACATAAACTGTATCATATTTGATTGTAATTTATTTATTTGTTTTAGTGGGGCTTGTGTTACTTAAGCTTAAGATTGTATGTAGTATTTTGCAACCTATTGTTTTTCTGTTCTTTTCTTTTGTTTTCTTTTGGGCATGGTGATATCTATCTTTGTTCAACTTATATTTTTTTGGCTTTTTTGCTGCCCCACGGTATCTAACTTTTTTACTGCAGTTTTTTTCAGCTTACATGTAGATTTGTATAAAACATTATGTGTTCAGTATACAAGATTTTATTTTTTATCAATAGTTAAAACTAAAAATATCTTACTCTTGAGCTTGTGGAGAATCATCATCTTTTGTAACATAGTTACTGGGTATATAACCTTGTTGACCTGATGTCAGGTGACGGGCCATCCACCAATCACAATTTGTGCTGTAAAATTATATCATGATACGATCAATAAATGCTAATAAACATTTAAACATACAGCTTTTGAACACTGACCTATTATGCTATAGTTTCTTACATTATTGATTGGAATCATAGTTTATAGACATATAAAATCGATGTGAAATATATGTTTTTTATCTTTTCATGATACCTGTAAAAGATAGAATATATCTTAAACATTTTATCCAAAAAACCTGTGTAAACTACCAGACTTTGGAATGGGGACCCACATACTTGTGTTTTATTGTTTGACAAAAAGGTTATCGTAAAAAATAAGAAATGGGTGTGGATGCCAGTGGATCATACCACATAAGTTTGTAACCAGAATCTTTAAGCTGGAATTTAATTGTGATTATTCATATCAAATATCCCCATAAAATTATTCAAGATATGCAGCAGTGATAATATGGACTCAATGACCTTTGAACTAAGTTTGTGCTTCTGACTTTGAAGACTGAGATTCAATTTTTTTTCTCCACACATCATCTGGTAGAAGTCAAATTACATCAATTTACTTCCTGGGCTAATCAAGTTATGAAGTGTGAAATGATTTGAATATGGAAGAAAGGTAGACAACTTTTATCTAAGTTTATAAAATTGAGAAATACAGTAAAGATTAAAATTGCAACACACCTTCTAGTAGTGATAAACCAAAACCATACCAATATCATGAATCAACTCTTTTAAAGGGATACTCATGATAAAGAGCAGACACAATTTTGCTGGATGCACATGAATGGTCAGATTAATACATAGATACTGTCTTAATAAAAAAAAAATACCAGCTTATGGATCATAGCACCTAGATGTTATGATAGAAATAGCTACACTATATTTTGGAAAGGTCCTCTCCAATTAGGTTGGCCACACTAGACAAAGGTTTTTTGTTATAAAGAAAATATTTATGTCTCAGCATGAGTTGACCTGATTTGTAACCTGGTTTAAAAATTAATTTGCTCCTTTTTCCTTTCATTGCTAATTGATATTTATTCGGTAATGTCAATATTTTACCACTTCCTGTCTACAGGCATTAAATACAAACTTACCTGGCCTCATCCACTTCCAGCTTATCTCCCTTTTTGAAGGACAAGTCATCATCATTTATTGCATCAAAATCATACAATGCTCTCATAACCAGACCACCTAAAACAGAAATGTATACTCATTTATTTTATATTTATACTTAAGTTATACCTGTGTGTGTGTTGACATATTTTGGTATCTTTAAAATAAAGAACTTTCACTGTGAGTTAAACTTTATAATTTCTTCATTAATGTTTAAGTCTCCTTTGACAATCAATAAAGCTGCCTATGTGGGTAGAACTCACACATTTGTTGAAAGATCTTCCAATGGCTGACTATAGAACACACTGACACACCATACATGGTTGTAAGTTTTTCTGGTTGGTTTCAAGCAAAGGACATTTACCTTATAAAATTTAGCCAAACTCAGATTGAAAAGTTAAAATGAATACTGTGGTCTTGTGGATTAATTTATTTTCATGGGAACCAAATTTCGATGATTGAGGAAAACTTTGTTGATATTTGATTTCATGGTTTTTCCAATGTCTGCATACAACATGTACAAGCCTACAGAAAATTTGTAATTCGTTGAACATTTAAATTTATGGTTCACCTGTACCCATGAAAATCAGTATCCAACGAATAAATCTACAGTATCTATGATTTATCAAACTTTAGTTTACTTTTATTTGCTTCTCATATAATTTTAATATATTTTGACGTACAGTAATCAGAGAGAATTTACTACAATTTGGTTTGACCAGAGGAAGTCAGTTTTTCACCTTTTATTTTTTGTTCATTATATATACTCCCCTCAGCGTCATGGTCATTGAAAAGATTCTGTGTGACAAAGCGGAATATTTACTGATGTAAACCATGTAAACACAAAAACCTTGTGATAAAAAAATTTTTACATCCTTCTTTTTAAAATATTATCTTAATGATTAAATAATCCATAGATTTTTTCATTGACATGTACTCCTTTATCATCAATAAGGAAATTTCTATATACCTGTGACCAATTACAATGTAAGATAATCAAATATCTATATGAATTAAGGAAGCAGGAACAATCAGTCATTCTACTTTATTCCTATCTTGAGTTTTATCTGTATAATTTTAAACTGAGCCCGAGCAGGACCAATTCCCTCTGCTACTGTACAAGCAATACTTACTTGTACCCCCTGGTGGTGGAGGCAGTGGCCTGACTGGACTGGATGGATTGTTGACATTAATAGTCACATCTTGTGGGGAGATGGCCTGTCCATTGACAGCTGATAAAGAGGGGGGTTTATTACCCCCCTGTTCTGGTTTCCCTAAACAGCCTCCCATGTCACATCAATAACATTTTCTACAACTGATAAAACAAAAGTTATCATTAATTGCCATAATCTGATAATACAAAAATGTATATATACAGGGTTCTCACTATTTTTAGGGTGAGTTCTGGGACTCATCACTTTTAGAAATGGTGAATCCATGCTGATTCTGACAAGTCCATAGTACAAAAACTCATACATTTCTCAACTGAAACGTCTCTTTCAACTAATTGGGCTTCCTTGAATAAAATCCTAATTTTTACTCCATTTACACTGGATTAGTCAAGTTAATAGTATATAATATATAACAAACAAATCTTTGTGCCTTCTTAATCAAAACATATCATGTATCGGTTTCTTTCTCATTGTTGAATGCTGCTGAAATGCAGTTGTTAACATCCGTGCACTTATGGTTGGTGGATAGTTTTCTCATTGTCATTCATACCACATTTTCATATAATATTTATTTGAGGGTTTGATTGGGGACTACATAATAGAGATAAAATGCTCCACGGGGTGCAGCTAGATACAACTTCAGAGGTTGAACCTTGAACAGTTGGGGCAAGTATGGACACTTCATTCAAGCTTGATACAGCTCTTACTTTGGATTGTGATAAAAAATTTGATTCAGCATAGGTTTCTGTCACAGAATGAATGTGGTCAAAGAACTGAAAAATTCGAAATTGGATTTTACCTATTATGCCTTTTTTCTCATTATCATGATTATTGCTTAGTACATAAATCAGGCCGTTAGTTTTCTCATTTGAATTGTTTAACATTTGTCATTTCAGGGCCTTTTATACATGTAGCTTGCTATGAGAGAGGGATTTTGCTCATTGTGAAGGCCAAATGGTGACCTACATAATACATGTACATGTATAGTTGCTAACCTTCTACGCCATTTGGTCTCTGGTGGAGAGTCTGTAGTATCATTGACAATCATACCTAATCTTCTTATTTTTATATTGTTTTCAACATTTTCTTGTCAAATGCATCTAACTAGAAATAATTCCCTAATTCAGCTACAATTGTTTACATTGTTTCTAGTGCGTTACATAATGTAATTATCAATTCTTTGACATATTATTCAGGGATCTCCATGGATGAAAATTTAACGATGGAGGAACTTTCACAGGGACAAAACCATGAAAATTGTGATCAAAACTATTTCATTCCTCCATTTCATTGTAAGGAATAGTGAACAGATTGATATTATATTATTATTATATTTATATTGTTATAGAAAATAACCGATACTTTCGTTAATTGTGATTTGATAAAATGCCAATATCAGGCCTGCATGGCTCCCCTTAAGTCATGAATGACCACAACCTGTCCTCATCAAGGTTCAAAAGTTGTCTTCTCGCTATTTTGGTAATTGTTTAGGACTTACAAATCTTTTTTTTCACTGTCAAATTCAGAAGTCACGACCTGGGATCGAAGATTTGCAGCATCAACAAGAAGTATCGTATCCGTTTTGTAAAACGTTGAAGAAAGATTTGGAGGGCAAACTTTTAAAACTGAAATGGTTTGAAATGGTTTTAATGACTTTAAATTCCATAGCAATAGACTATGCAACATGCATCTTTCCATTCTGAATGTATGTATGCTACGCATAAGCCTCTTTTCGTAAGGAGCCCCACCATGAGTTATGCGGTAAAGGAAGCACACTCTATCAGCACAGATTTAATGTGAGCATTTGCCTACCCAGTTACCCAGCCTGGCCATGACTGGACTTACTTCCAGAAAGTTAACCTTCCCAAAAACATGAATAAATACAATGCAATACACCCACTCACCTGATTTGCTCATCCTCAAGAGTGTAAAGTAAAAGTGCAAAATATATACAAAATATGAGAAATAGTCATCCTGGATGCTGCACAAATGCCATGGCAACAAACAGGAAACCGGTAAGGAGATACTTGGATTCCAAAATGTGAACAGGATGTATTAATTTGATTGTAAACTACAAAATGAATTCGGAATTACGATATGAAATTTCTTCAAATTATCAAGTTGCCGTTAATATTCATGTATTTACTTTATGACTTATTAAGTGATTGAATGGTATGATTAATTGTTGTACTAGTGTTACTTGGTATGAAATTATGTTCTGTTTTACATCTTATTTTGTACTCCTTCAAAAAGGGAGATTCTGATTGCGCAAGTCAATAAAAGAATGTGTTCCACATGTTAAACTTTTTTCATCATAACTGGATTTAAAATTTATTTTTTAATCTCAATTTTTATAAGCATTTGTGTAACGTAATTAAATAATGCAATTAATGGTCTATCTTGATCAAGTGCCCTCCTGTCAATCTACCTCTACACAGTAATCTGGAAGGATTTTTTCTGTATGGGCCCAGGATCACCCAAAAATAAAATCAATGGGCCATGTTGTTAAATGAGTGGGCCATTTGTTAAGAGCAAAAAATTAAAAAGTGTATATTTCAGCAGAGGTACTAACCTGTATGATTCTAATTGATATCATGGATATTGTTCCTGTGCTTTTGTAGTTTCGGTGAATAAAAGTTAATTAAGTTCATGGAGATTTATGTGACCAAAGACATACAAAAGAAAAGATGTCTCTGATGTGACTAAGAATGACATCGTATGAGTCCATGAAATGTAACATCACTCAGAAATTAAACTTTTTATGACTTATAATAAAAAAAACTGAGCAACATATGACTAGGTCACCAACACCACTTCAATGAACAGAATCATTAATGAGGAAATGCTGAGATCAAGAATAGAAATCTGATCTGGACTGATTTTTAAAATCTGTACTACATCATGTACATGTAGTAATTATTGAAAAATCTATGAAACTTGAACATACATGTATATTAATTATCAAACCATACAGTGCATAGTACAAATGTAGTAACATATTAAAAGATAAAAGTAATAACTGTTACTCTGTATTAATAATAGGCAAAAAAATAAAATAAACTGAGTTACTAGAATTATATGACAATGGCAGTCTAAAAGTAACTGACCTAGATTTTGTGGCACAAAATTGGAGAAAGAAGAAATGAATCTTATTAAGAAAACTAGACCAATTAAATTCCAAGTTAGTTGAAATGATTTTTGGCAAGATTTGCAGTACATTTTGATGCCATCATACAGTAACCAGGGCCATAACTTCTCCCAAACTGGGCTATATTTACGAGAAACTTTATTTACAATGTTAATACTGGTACTGTCGCCTTGTTCATGTTTATTTGACATTTAATTTGGGTCTTCGTCGACTGCCATACTTTATTCCCAACGTTCCGTATTAGAGGACTTTTCAGGCATTTCCTCTGCATTTCTTGTATTATTATTATTTAATCAAGAATAACAAAAGAGAGAAACGTTTTTTGATAAGATACAACAACAATTCGCTGTTGGCATGATTACGAAATGTACAAACGAACCAAAGACCAAAAAATTGACAAGGACAATTAAGCACCTTTTATGGAGACAAATACTATATTAAAAAATAGGCCTTTTGGGTTTTTCAATTGAAATTATAATAACAAGTTCACTTTAAAGATTATAATTTGAGAAAATTCCTCGTCTGTACTAGCCAACTTTCACAGAAATGAAGTTGTTTACTTTGAAAATTTTGATCATGGATGAAGGTTACATGTATGTAACAGGAGAGCATGAATTTTTATTACAAAATTGCTCGTCTCCACTGGGACTCAAACCCAGGACCTCTGTGTTACAAGGCAACATGTATACAAACTGATCTAAAGAAGTACTTCCTTAGCTCAACTGCTTATGGCTGACTAAGTATCTACCACATTTACTACGGGAAGCAATCCCGTCACAGTTAATTGCGTTTTTCGGTAATCAGTTATACCGCACGTTGCTATCCTTAGCATAAGGAAAACACCAGAGACGTCCCAAAAAATATATACGTGTAGGTGGTGCTCCTGTCATTGTCAACACAGTTTTGAACACAAATATGGCGACACGAAACACGATGGGAAATCCATTTCACGATATCTAAACATTTAGATACGAAGCGAAAAACATCATGCGCCACACTGGCGCTTACATTTGACACTCTTTGGCCATTTCTGGTCGATATGCGCAATTTGCACATGGCGCTCAAGTCGGCTCGACCTTCCCGATCACTCCTACAAATGATTAGCGATCATTAAACTGTAATCAGGAGGACCCTTTGGATTATAATATAATAGGAGTTATGCAATTGGTAACAAAAGTGGCAGTGGCTAGTGAAACAAAAACAGATTTTGACTTCACCTATCAATCATAGTGCAGTTATTTAACAATGGCGGAAAATAATTTAACAATTGGGGGATCCATTGAAAATGGCAGTTGGCCATCATAAAACAGGTCATGGAGATCTCTGATTATTGGTGGTGGGTAAACAGTGTTTCCTACAGGAGGTTTTGTTGTGGTATGTCACCCTGCTGCATTTTCTTGACACCCTGCCCTTATAATGAAAAATGTTGGTGCCTTGCCCCATTTTTGTAGAAATTTATGAAGCCATGCACTTTTACGTCCTTTTTCATTATTCATGTGGGTCATTGTTCTGAACATTTGAAATTAGGAATTATCTATGGTCTGCAAATTGTCAAAAAAAAAAGGACCATAAGGGCTATGGTTCCACAGCTAACAGTATATACAAGGCAATGTCTGTTTATACCATTATTCTGCCTTCTTTTCCTTTAAGGGTCCCAAACCAATGGTTGGTAAAAGAAGTACACATGCATGACATGTCCAAAGTTGAACTTTCATGAATCAAATAAGCATGTACTTTCTACTAAATTATCACAATACGTAAATGTAAACATTGTAAAAATGTTAAAGAAAACAAGATGACACAAAATTACTCCAATCATCACATTGTTTTGAAATCGTTAAAATGTATAAATAAACATGATAAAGATAAAATACACAGAGATAACTTAGTCTTCAGTTGATTTATATTTAATTTCTTGTCGTCCTGTAATCTACAGTGCAAATCAAAGAATAAAATATCTGGTAGCAGCAATACAATATAAATACTTAGCAAAACTTTCAACAAACTTTTAAATATTCAAACAATATACATCAAAAAAAAAAAAAAAATAAAATATCAGGGCGAGCAGACCCAGTGTGAATAGGTATTATAGAGGAAACAGAAATAAATGGTGAGCAGACCCTGTGAACAGGTATTAGGACCAGGATTCAAAGTTTAGGAACTTCTTAACTTTGAGGCTAAGGTAAACTCAAAGGTATTTGTTCCCACGTTTTTTATTATTCTTATACACAAAATCTTTCATTTTCATTCTTAAACGCATTCTTTTTCAGCAAGTTTAGAGTATTCAGTAGTAAAAGTGAGATTGCACTTTTATTTGTTCGTAAAATTGAAAACAACACCCGATAAAACATCTATAAAAATATAATTCTGTTCTGGTGATTAGAGTTAATCACACTTTGTTTGTATTTTTATATAAATGTGGTCTTACGTGTATTAACGAAATATTATCAATGAAGCCAGTTATGTGGGAAAACCCAACTTCTTATTAGAAATAATTTCGCCATAAAACCAGGAAGTCTCTTGCCGGAAGGTAAATTAGTGAACTCTCGTTATTTCTCGTTTTTACTTGTAGCGGTCATCTCAAAGTGTATCCATGAATGAAGAGAAGGACCATCTCAAAATGTCAACACGTTTAGATTGCTTTATATTTTGCTATCGGATTGATTGTCTTTAATACTAATATTCAAAATGATGTTTTGTACATCTTAAACAAAAACAAACATAATTTCTAATAAAAAAATTCGAATTCACCTTTGGGACATAACGTATTGGCTAGTATAATAGTCCCAGATCAGCTTCAGAAAACGATATTTATCTTAAATACTCAATAAAAGTTTTAAAACATCATTTTTTCCAGATAAGCTAAAGGTGGTCCAGGTTAGACCACTTTTTAAGAAAAAACAATATACTGGACAAATGAAATTATCGCCCAGTTAGTGTGTTGGCAAGTCAATGATATCCAAATTTTACGAACGTGCTATTTTTGATCAACAAGCTGTGTTTTTTTGAAAAACATTTTAACCCCCTATTATCTGTATTTAGATCAGGATATGGGTGTCAAACTGCCCTCCTTAGAGTTATTGAGGATTGGAAGAAGGCACTGTGAGATAAAAAAAATTGTCGCAGCAATATTTATGGACTTATCAAAGGTATTCGACTGTTTGCCGCTTGAATTATTATTATTAAAAATGAAAACTTATGGTTTATCAAAGAGTTTTATAGATTTATTACAGAGCTACTTACAAAACAGAAAACAATGTGTAAAGATTAATGATATTTGTAGTAATTTTGAAATTATGTTCAAAGGTGTTCCGCAAGGCTCCATACTTGGACCTATGCGTTTTAATATATTGCTCTGGCAATTGGCAAAACAACTTTTAATCATGATATTGTTTTTCATCTTAAAGGAAATAGAATAGAATGTGAAAATGATGTAAAGCTACTGGGAGTCACACTAGACTACAGATTAAATTTTGATAAACATATATCTGAGATTTGTAAGAAGGCCTCTCGTCAACTTAATGTTCTTAAACGTATTGGTAGATATCTGAATAGACTTGGTCGTCTAACAATTTATTATTCTTTTATTTTGTCTAATCTTAATTATTGCCCAGTCACCTGGCATTTTTGTAGTGAAAAAAACACAGTTAAGATGGAAAAAATGCAAGAGAGTGCCTTGAGATTTGTTTATGAGGATTATGATAGCTCATATGAAGATCTTTGAGCTTTTGATTTTGCCATTTGATTAGGGACTTTCCTTTTTGAATTTTCCTCGGAGTTCAGTATTTTTGTGATTTTACTTTTTACACCAGTCAAAACTTCCATCACTTAAAGTCAAAAGATTACGAGCAAAAGCTATAGAAACCTTTAAAATTATACACAAAAAGAGTACATCTTATTTACATGATTTGATTAAATCAAAAAATCACAAATATTCCTTCAGATATAAAAATACAGGTGAACAGCCCCAGTTGAGAACAACAAGCTATGGCATCAATTCTTTTCGATGCACAGCTGCAAAATTTTGGAATGAACTACCCCAGAGTTTTAGAGAAAAAAACAATTTTAACCAATTTTCTAAACTTATTGTTACCTGGAATGGTAGTTCTTGCCAATGCAATGCCTGCGATAATTAATGCTTTAATTTTTAGTGCTTTTTCTGCTTAATGTGCTATAATTGCTTATGTATATGCTTTTAATATTGATTGCTTACGGTACTTTTAATATTTCTGCATAGTATAACATATTTATCTTCTTCATGTCATTTATGTTGTATATGTATGCTTCAATGTAATGATTTACTTTGTGTAACTCTTGTGTATGTAGTATGCTTGCTTTATTTTAAACGTGCATATTTTAAATGTTTTGTTTGTAATAAGACGATATAAAAGCTCAATAGAGCTTGTGTTTTTTGTAACTTTAAAGATACATTCATTGAAAATGATTTGTCGAAGTCTCAACGGATTCTGAATAACAGCTTACGGAATATTGTGATCGCAATTGGTGAAAATAGACTAGAAATAAAAGGAGATATAGTCCAAACTCGAGAATCAAGATTTCGTAGTGAAAACCAAAAAAAGGGGTCACCTACCAATGGATGAAGAATATGAAAATCGAAATCACAGTACACAGGGATACAACAGTGCTCGAGGTGGAAATCGACGAGGGAAACACTACAAAAGTGGGCGTGGCGGTTATTGAGTAGAATGCAGATTTTGGAACATTAACGGATGGAACTATAATGTAAATAGTGACAAGTATATAGTCTTTTAACTTCTTTTATTCAGCAACGTAATCTACATATACTGGGTATTGCTGAAACACACCTGATGGGTTCTAATTCTGTAAACGTGGATGGTTACTGCTGGTACGGCCATAACCGACGGAATATCCACATTCGAGCGAAGAATGGATAGGGTGGAGTAGGACTTTTAGTAAGAAGAATAAGAATAAGAATATTTATTGAATCAAATTTAAGGGCCCGTTTCCGAGCATATACATATATATATATAGTATTAATTATACAATAATTTTTAAGATATATTACCTTAAAAATAAATGATTAAATAACTATACTCCATACCAGATGGTGTTTGAAAATAAATAAAATAGAATATTAACCCTCTCTAATACATAAAAATAAATAAACTACTGTAACATCACTACTACATGTATATTTAATTAGTTACTGGAATGCAAATTTTCTCAGGCTTATTTCAAAACAAGTACGTTATGACTTTGATCGACAATTTCACATTGAAATCGTTGATGATTATACTGATGGTATAATTTGGGTGCAATATGTTTTACGTTTGCGTCGTCTACCTGCCACCAGAAAACTCAACTAGAACAGTCAATGTACACGAATTTATGGAAACATTAATGACACATATATACACAATCCCACAAGATAATTTGTTCTATCTGTGTGGTGATTTTAACAGCCGTTGTTCTGATTTCTCGGATTCAATCGAAGGAATAGATTGCTTACCTGAGCGCGATATAGTCGACTTTCAGACAAACGGATATGGTAGCATTTTTTGTGAATTTCTAATTGATGTTACCTGTTGCACACTTAATGGTCGGAAATCTATAAGTAACGAATTTACTTTTGCCTGAACACGCGGCTCGAGTGTAGTAGACTGCTGTGTTTTACTATATGAGATGTTGGACTCATTTAACTCCTTTAGCGTAACAAGAGCTACTACTATCATTCAAAGTCTTGGCGAACCCAGTAGATCTTCGTAAAATAGTACCTGATCATTCACTATTGACATGGAATATGTGCCTTTATTTTTCAGATATAGACCAAGTCAGTAAAAATATAGACAAAAGTCAAACTGTTATGAAACTTAAATATGATACTAAAAGAATACCGGAAGATTGGCTTCGTGGAGAGTTTGTTGTAACAGAAATTAATCGTGTGATATTGCAATTAGGGAGCTTCCATTTGATTTTTATGGGGGGGGGGGGGGGGGGGGGGGGGCTAGGATGAAAAATTTTGTCCTGCATTTTTTTTTAGTTGTAATCTCTGTCCTGCCTTTTTATTTTTCACTCTATTCGGTCCTGCCTATTTTTTTAAAGTTTATCCTGACTTTTTTTTACCTAAATTGTCATCCTGACTTTTTTTTTTTGCAAGAGTCTCATCCTGCCTTTTTTTTACTCAAAACTCCTGTCCTGCTTTTTTTTCAAATTTCATCCTAGCCCCCCCATAAAAATCAAATGGTAGCTCCCTTAGAACAATCTGAAGCTTCACAACAAAATATCGATAAAATGTATGAAAATTTTGTATCTGTAATGAAAACCGAAATGTCTGAAAAGTGACCAGGTAAAGAAATTCGTATTAGTAATGCGTTTAACAATAAAGATAGAAAATGTAAAAAACCGTGGTGGAATCACGAGCTTACTATGTTGCGGAATGGTGTGTGTAATGCGGAGAAAATTGGAATAAATGTCGTCTTAGTAGTAAGAAAAGGGAACTTCGTCATATATTTGTACAAAAACGAAAAGTATTTGACCGAGGAGTCCAAAGATCAAAATGTCAATACTGGCATGCAATGAGGGAGGAATTAATCAATTCGCAAGGAAGCCCAAAGGAATTTTGGCGGAAAATTGTAAGGATCGGAGTAGGGAGCGAGCGTCAAAATACTATTCCAATGGAGATTAAATTAAATGATGGATCAATTTGTGATGATAAAAATATGGTTATTAATAAATGGAAATGTGATTTTGAGGAAATGTTAAATAAAAATAGCGATGATAGTAATGAAAAAGAAAATTGTAATAATGGTATAATTTGTGATGAAATTTTACTTATCGATCTTGGAGTAATCAACGACGAACAGAATGGTTTCAGAAAGAGTCGTAGTGTCATAGACCATCTATCAACTTTAACTACTATTATTGAAACAAGAAAACTTTGTAAACTTTCAACGTTCTGTGCATTTATAGATTTTAAAAACGCATATGACTGGGTAAATCGTAATATGTTGTTGTGTAAATTAGAATCTTTAGGTTTAATTACCAAAATGTTAAATGCTTTACATTCTTTATATTATAATGTTCAATCTTGTGTCAAGATAAATGGCAATTTGACTGATTGGTTTGGAGTAAATTCTGGCCTAAAACAAGGCTGTATATTATCGCCGTTATTATTCAAGATTTTCATAAATAAATTAGTTGATGACATTAAGAGATTAGATATTGGTATAAATGTAAATGGTGAAAAAATTTGTATATTATTATATGCAGATGATGTAGTATTATTAGCCGAAAATGAAAATGACCTTCAAAAATATTAGATGTTTTAAGTATATGGTGTAATGTAAATGACTTAGTTGTAAATATGGACAAGTCAAAAATTGTTCATTTTAGAACACAATCTGTGACACAAACAAATTTTGAATTTATGTTGAACGGAAACCAGTTAGATATTGTATCAAAATATATGTATCTTGGTTTGTTATTAAATGAGTTTTTGGATTATAATAAGATGGCAAAAATTGTAGCAAAATCATCCAGCAGATCATTAGGTTTTCTTA